GAATTCCAATATTATATCCGGTTTAGTCACAAGATTACTGCGCCAATTTGACGATCCTTCTTTGCCCGTGACACTATCAGATATCCGGATCTGGATTTATTCGGATATCCATTACTATCCATTTACTATTGATATCCGGATAATTATCCGAATACCTGTCGGATTACGTATCCAGATATCTGAGCAATTTGAATTATCTAGATAATTAGGTACGGATAAACGGATGACGGATTTATCGGATTGGAACTCTAGATTACGACCAATTGTAGTGCTTTGCAACTTACGTAGCGGTAAGTTATAACTCGGTTTTATTAAATACAAAGTCATACTCGTAGTATAGTATGTTATGCAATAGATCATAATTCCGTAACAATGAATAAACTATGTAATTAATTTATTATGTTGGAAATATGGAATACTCGCTTGAGAATTAAAGGATGAGTTTTTTTTAGCTGAGGAATCGGCCTCGGTTCAAAGAACTATGCATCTGAAAAATGTATACGTACCAGGTTGATATGACATAGTTGCTAGATAGGAATTAAATAAAAAAAGTTCCTTTGTAAAAGCTACTGATTTTCATTCAACTTACGGTGATTCATCCAACGTCCGTAAAAAATTTGAAAAACTATCAACGGAAAAACTTGTGCTGGTAGAAGAATCGTCAACCGCAACCTTCGTAAAGATGTCCAAGCTGCTATGAATATTATATTTATTTTATAATAATTATACACTATACATTTAAATTTTTATGATAACAATAATGGAGCTGAAGAAAGCAATGAGTGTGATGGTGATGGTAATGAAGTTAACCAATGAATACAATAATGAAAATATTGATGCGAATTATGATAAAAATGATGAAGACCAGGCCAATTCACTTATCAGATCTCGATTTTGATTTCTCTTTACTCCTCTGTCTATTCCACAAGCAACTCAGCAAGGTGATACGGTTCAAAGATCTCGTTATAACAGCTTTAACTTTACTAATTGTAAAGTCAAAATTTTTCTTAACCGTTGAAATAATTTTAAATTTTTAAAAATTTTAATGTATGCTGTAAAATGCTGTAATAATTACTGGGTTGTTATTAAAGGGCAATACCCCAATTATGTTTAAAAACTATTGTAATATTTCCCGTTATATTTGTGAAAATAATAATACAAAATTCTTTGAAGTAATTATAAAGAAAATCAGTAGCTATCTGTCCATCACAAGAATGAGAAGTATCATCCCTTCAGTCCTTAAAATTTAATCAAATTTCTACATTGTCAATTAACCCTTCTGCATAAGCCGTTCGAAACACCTCTTTAACAGGAGTCGGAACTCCAATTCTAGTTTAATTTAATTTAATCGTTAACTGTTCTACAACAAATCATTTCTCGTTAATATTAACTCTTTAAATTTTACAAAGATTCTTTATCATTGTTAATGGACAAGCCGATAAGTATATTTCATCTTTTTAATACAAAGAAATAAAAATGCAAATATAAAACATAATATATAAACATTGCTTAATAGATTAAATGTTTTTATACATTTATGTAAATTATCTAAATTTATTCTTTCTATATTATCGTTAGCAATTAACGTTAATAAACTTGGAATTTATTACTTTTTTTGATTGTGCTAATGCCATCTAACAAAGTGGCGCACCAACCTGTTGCCGTGACGTATTTTGAGATGTAATTCTTTGGACACAGCTTTATCTCTGAGCCAAAGTAATTTGCTCCACTTAAAAATTTCTGAATCGTTAATTATTTATCCAATAAGTTTAATTACAATTAAATAATATAAATTTTAATTAACGAACCATTATTTTTCTACCCGATTCGTGTGTACTTTTTATTTTCAGAAAAAGTACATTCCCCTTCGTTTCTTCATAATCTTAGTTTATAGTAGTATTGTTATTCGAATTCCAAGAATATTCGTATGCTTTTTTTTTTTTTTTTTTTACATTCTAGAATAATGTTAACTCATCAAAGTTCTTAAACAAAGATATATTTAACGTTTATAGCAACTTCCATAAAAAAAAAAAAACTCTAATGTTTTGTAGCTTTATTCAAAAAAAATAGAAAGTATATATGACTTAAGTATTGCAAATTACTGTTAGAATCATAATTTTGATTTTTTATTAAACTTATATAGTTTTATAACTTATATAATGTTATTTAAAATTTTATATAGATTTAAAAACCCAATGTAGACTTATATAGTTAATTATTATATATAAATTAATATAATATTTATGTATGATGTTTTACACCCGTGTGTATATCTAAACTGAATTTGCTTTCAAGACACGGTCAAACTCAATCATTGCTTAAAAGTTTATTTATTTATTTTTTTTACATATTTTAACAATCTCTTGATAATGGCTAAATGATACGGTATTTAAATTTCATTTAGAAAATGTAAAAGGCTAATTTTCAATATTATCTCAAAAACTGACTAATTAATCAGTGCGGTGTATCCTAAGTAAAATGTTATACGTTCCCAAGACCCTTCCCAAACTGTAATTTAACTTTAAATATAACCCTAACATGAATAATTTGCATTAAAATTTTGTATACAAATTTAAATATTTAAAAATAAAAACAAATAATAACATATGATATGTGCAAAACCACCATAGGAGTATTTTATAATAATTGAAAATTGATAATAATCTTTTAATTACTCTGCCATTCAATAATTTCTGAAATTTTTTCTTTGTTTTCATGAATCCAAGTTTCTAATTTAGAAACATATGTCCATCCATCTAATGTTTTTTTATTTGAAAATATTTCCACTCCTTTAAAAAATAAATTAGAAAAATATTTAAGTAAATATTGCAAATAATTTTTTAAAAAATAATAATTACAAACCTTTTGGGTTTAACATTTCATTAGTAATTAACAATATAACTTTATGTCTATAAAAGTATAAAAAATATAAAATAGTAAAAATAATTATATTTAAAATTGTACTAAAACAACTAACATCAATTTAGCTACAATAAACATAGAATACGTAATAAGTATTTATTTAAAAATTTTTAATATGCTATAAACTTTTCTAAATATTTTTAATCCTTTAAATATATGTAAAAGATATATAAAAAAGATTTGGATAGTATAAAAATATCGCATAGCATAAAAAAGTTTCGAAATAACACTTATACCGTATAACTATTGTTTATGGCATAATAAAAAAAGGTCATCAAATGATAACTAGGTCAATTTATTACAAATTAGTGACTAGTGAAGATACCAAAACCCTTTAATTCACGATATTACTACATAGTTGGAGCTGAAAATAAATCTTTTTGATAATAAGGCCATGCAAAATTAAATAATTGGTTTTCATAACCCGGCCGGGTCAAAATTTGAAAACTTCTAAAAAAAATTTTTA